TCCTGAAGATTCCTCTAAAGGTTCTAATGAAAGTTCTCCTGAAGGTTCCTCTAAAGGTTCTAATGAAAGTTATCCTGAAGGTTCCTATAAAGGTTCGAATGAAAGTTCTCCTGAAGGATCCTCTAAAGTTTCCTCTAAAGGTTCTAATGAAAGTGCTCCTGAAGGATCCTCTAAAGGTTCCTCTACAGGTTCTTATGAAAGTTCTCCTGAAGGTTCCTCTAAATGTTCAAATGAAAGTTCTCCTGAAGGATCCGCTAAAGGTTCTAATGAAAGTTCTCCTGAAGGTTCCTCTTAAGGTTCTAATGAAAGTTCTCCTGAAGGTTCCTCTAAAGGTTCTAAGGTAAGTTCTCCTGAAGGTTCCTCTAAATGTTCTAATGAAAGTTATCCTGAAGGTTCATCAAAAGGTTCTAATGAAAGTTCTCCTGAAGGTTCCTCTAAAGGTTCTAATGAAAGTTCTCCTGAAGGTTCCTCTAAATGTTCTAATGAAAGTTCTCCTGAAGGTTCCTCTAAAGGTTCTAATGAAAGTTATCCTGAAGGTTCCACTAAAGGTTCTAATGAAAGTTATCCTGAGGGTTCATCTAAAGTTTCTAATGAAAGTTCTCCTGAAGGTTCCTCTAAAGGTTCTAATGAAAGTTCTCCTGAAGGTTCCTCTAAAGGTTCTAATGAAAGTTCTCCTGAAGGATCCTCTAAAGATTCCTCTAAAGGTTCTAATGAAAGTTCTCCTGAAGGATCCTCTAAAGGTTCCTCTAAAGGTTCTAATGAAAGTTCTCCTGAAGGTTCCTCTAAATGTTCAAATGAAAGTTCTCCTGAAGGATCCTCTAAAGGTTCCTCTAAATGTTCTCCTGAAAGTTCTCCTGAAGGTTCCTCTAAAGGTTCTCCTGAAAGTTCTCCTGAAGGTTCCTCTAAAGGTTCTCCTGAAATTTCTCCTGAAGGATCCTCTAAAGGTTCTAATGAAAGTTCTCCTGAAGGATCCTCTAAAGGTTCCTCTAAAGGTTCTAATGAAAGTTCTCCTGAAGGATCCTCTAAAGGCTCCTCTAAAGGTTCTAATGAAAGTTCTCCTGAAAGTTCCTCTAAAGGTTCCTCTAAAGGTTCTAATGAAAGTTCTCCTGAAGGTTCCTCTAAAGGTTCTAATGAAAGTTATCCTGAAGGTTCCTATAAAGGTTCTAATGAAAGTTCTCCTGAAGGATCCTCTAAAGGTTCCTCTAAAGGTTCTAATGAAAGTTATCCTGAAGGTTCCTCTAAAGGTTCTAATTAAAGTTCTCCTGAAGGATCCTCTAAAGGTTCCTCTAAAGGTTCTAATGAAAGTTCTCCTGAAGGTTCCTCTAAAGGTTCTAATGAAAGTTCTCCTGAAGGTTCCTCTAAAGGTTCTAATGAAAGTTCTCCTGAAGGTTCCTCTAAATGTTCTCCTGAAAGTTCTCCTGAAAGTTCTCCTGAAGGTTCCTCTAAAGGTTCTAATGAAGGTTATCCTGAAGGTTCCTATAAAGGTTCTAATGAAAGTTCTCCTGTAGGTTCCTCTAAAGTTTCCTCTAAAGGTTCTCCTGAAATTTCTCCTGAAGGATCCTCTAAAGGTTCTAATGAAAGTTCTCCTGAAAGTTCCTATAAAGGTTCTAATGAAAGTTCTCCTGAAGGTTCCTCTAAAGGTTCTCCTGAAAGTTCTCCTGAAGGTTCCTCTAAAGGTTCTCCTGAAATTTCTCCTGAAGGATCCTCTAAAGGTTCTCCTGAAAGTTCTCCTGAAGGTTCCTCTAAAGGTTCTCCTGAAATTTCTCCTGAAGGATCCTCTAAAGGTTCTAATGAAAGTTCTCCTGAAGGTTCCTCTAAATGTTCAAATGAAAGTTCTCCTGAAGGATCCTCTAAAGGTTCCTCTAAATGTTCTCCTGAAAGTTCTCCTGAAAGTTCTCCTGAAGGTTCCTCTAAAGGTTCTCCTGAAAGTTCTCCTGAAGGTTCCTCTAAAGGTTCTCCTGAAATTTCTCCTGAAGGATCCTCTAAAGGTTCTAATGAAAGTTCTCCTGAAGGATCCTCTAAAGGTTCCTCTAAAGGTTCTAATGAAAGTTCTCCTGAAGGATCCTCTAAAGGCTCCTCTAAAGGTTCTAATGAAAGTTCTCCTGAAAGTTCCTCTAAAGGTTCCTCTAAAGGTTCTAATGAAAGTTCTCCTGAAGGTTCCTTTAAAGGTTCTAATGAAAGTTATCCTGAAGGTTCCTATAAAGGTTCTAATGAACGTTCTCCTGAAGGATCCTCTAAATGTTCCTCTAAAGGTTCTAATGAAAGTTATCCTGAAGGTTCCTCTAAAGGTTCTAATTAAAGTTCTCCTGAAGGATCCTCTAAAGGTTCCTCTAAAGGTTCTAATGAAAGTTCTCCTGAAGGTTCCTCTAAAGGTTCTAATGAAAGTTCTCCTGAAGGTTCCTCTAAAGGTTCTAATGAAAGTTCTCCTGAAGGTTCCTCTAAATGTTCTCCTGAAAGTTCTCCAGAAAGTTCTCCTGAAGGTTCCTCTAAAGGTTCTAATGAAGGTTATCCTGAAGGTTCCTATAAAGGTTCTAATGAAAGTTCTCCTGTAGGTTCCTCTAAAGTTTCCTCTAAAGGTTCTCCTGAAATTTCTCCTGAAGGATCCTCTAAAGGTTCTAATGAAAGTTTCTCCTGAAAGTTCCTATAAAGGTTCTAATGAAAGTTCTCCTGAAGGTTCCTCTAAAGGTTCTCCTGAAAGTTCTCCTGAAGGTTCCTCTAAAGGTTCTCCTGAAATTTCTCCTGAAGGATCCTCTAAAGGTTCTAATGAAAGTTCTCCTGAAGGATCCTCTAAAGGTTCCTCTAAAGGTTCTAATGAAAGTTCTCCTGAAGGTTCCTCTAAAGGTTCTAATGAAAGTTCTCCTGAAGGTTCCTCTAAAGGTTCTCCTGAAAGTTCTCCTGAAAGTTCTGCTGAAGGTTCCTCTAAAGGTTCTCCTGAAATTTCTCCTGAAGGATCCTCTAAAGGTTTTAATGAAAGTTCTCCTGAAGGATCCTCTAAAGGTTCCTCTAAAGGTTCTAATGAAAGTTCTCCTGAAGGATCCTCTAAAGGCTCCTCTAAAGGTTCTAATGAAAGTTCTCCTGAAAGTTCCTCTAAAGGTTCCTCTAAAGGTTCTAATGAAAGTTCTCCTGAAGGTTCCTCTAAAGGTTCTAATGAAAGTTATCCTGAAGGTTCCTATAAAGGTTCTAATGAAAGTTATCCTGAAGGTTCCTATAAAGGTTCTAATGAAAGTTCTCCTGAAGGATCCTCTAAAGGTTCCTCTAAAGGTTCTAATGAAAGTTCTCCTGAAGGTTCCTCTAAAGGTTCTAATGAAAGTTATCCTGAAGGATCCTCTAAAGGTTCCTCTAAAGGTTCCTCTAAAGGTTCTAATGAAAGTTCTCCTGAAGGTTCCTCTAAATGTTCTCCTGAAAGTTCTCCTGAAAGTTCTCCTGAAAGTTCTCCTGAAGGTTCCTCTAAAGGTTCTAATGAAGGTTATCCTGAAGGTTCCTATAAAGGTTCTAATGAAAGTTCTCCTTTAGGTTCCTCTAAAGTTTCCTCTAAAGGTTCTCCTGAAATTTCTCCTGAAGGATCCTCTAAAGGTTCTAATGAAAGTTCTCCTGAAGGATCCTCTAAAGGTTCCTCTAAAGGTTCTAATGAAAGTTCTCCTGAAGGTTCCTCTAAAGGTTCTAATGAAAGTTATCCTGAAGGTTCCTATAAAGGTTCTAATGAAAGTTATCCTGAAGGTTCCTATAAAGGTTCTAATGAAAGTTCTCCTGAAGGATCCTCTAAAGGTTCCTCTAAAGGTTCTAATGAAAGTTCTCCTGAAGGTTCCTCTAAAGGTTCTCCTGAAAGTTCTCCTGAAGGTTCCCCTAAAGGTTCTAATGAAAGTTCTCCTGAAGGTTCCTCTAAAGGTTCTAATGAAAGTTCTCCTGAAGGTTCCTCTAAAGGTTCTCCTGAAAGTTCTCCTGAAAGTTCCTCTAAAGGTTCTCCTGAAATTTCTCCTGAAGGATCCTCTAAAGGTTCTAATGAAAGTTCTCCTGAAGGATCCTCTAAAGGTTCCTCTAAAGGTTCTAATGAAAGTTCTCCTGAAGGATCCTCTAAAGGCTCCTCTAAAGGTTCTAATGAAAGTTCTCCTGGAAGTTCCTCTAAAGGTTCCTCTAAAGGTTCTAATGAAAGTTCTCCTGAAGGTTCCTCTAAAGGTTCTAATGAAAGTTATCCTGAAGGTTCCTATAAAGGTTCTAATGAAAGTTATCCTGAAGGTTCCTATAAAGGTTCTAATGAAAGTTATCCTGAAGGATCCTCTAAAGGTTCCTCTAAAGGTTCCAATGAAAGTTCTCCTGAAGGTTCCTCTAAAGGTTCTAATGAAAGTTATCCTGAAGGATCCTCTAAATGTTCTCCTGAAAGTTCTTCTGAAAAATCTCCTGAAGATTCTACCAAAGGTTCCTCTAAAGGTTCTCCTGGAGGTTCCTCCAGTAGACGATGGGCCCACTGCATTTATAGGACAGATGGACAGGAAGTTGTCACAGGAACCGGCGGCACAGCTCTAGCAGAATCAGATCCGCCTCTGCAGCCCTGATGGATTTGCTTCCTCTATTCCAGAGGTCATGGATCAGATAATCCAGACCCATTTTAAAATGGAAAAATGTTTTTTTATATTTTATATATATATATATATATATATATATATATATATATATATATATATATATATATATATATATATATATATATATATATATATACATATATATTATTTTTATTTTTTTTATGACATCATCATACAGGTCATAACCAGGAAATGAAAAATTAAATGAAAAAAAGAGGCAGGATGTCTGCTCCAGCGTGTTCTGGCATCAACCGGTCAAACTCTGTCTTTAATGAATATTAAATTTATTCCGAAAATAACGTGAATGGAAGGAGAGTGAGAAGCTGAACCTGCAGGCAGGACTGAGGGCTGAGAAAGCCCATGATTGTCATCTAATAGCAGAGCGGTTCTGGAAGGAACCAGGTCTGGTCCAGGGCTCACCATGTCCATTCCAGACTTCTGCAAGGTGACAATCGGACTCGCCCGCCTCTTTGCAGTACTCCACCACGTCAGCCACCCGTGTTGCTGGTGTGACTGGGACCTCCGTGAGCATCTGCTGGGTGTCATTCAGATAAACTGTCAGGATCACCTGTAACCATGGAAACAGAAACAGCAGTCATTTAGTAGCTGGCTACCCGCACTAACTACTGGATGCTCTCCGGTGTCCGGCTGGACCAATAAATTAGGGAACCAGCAGAAAATAACCAGAATTTAGGTTTTCTTCTTCATTTGCCCTCATAAGCCCATAACCACCGATGGTGGACTGAGCTACCAGGGAGACCCGAAACGCGTCCCTCTCATTCTCTACAAGCGCTGTCTGCAACTTCTTCATCACCTCTGGAGGATGTTGACCATGACTTGGCGTAGGGGGACCGCTGTAGACCAATGGAGGTCTATGGATTCCCTAAGATGGAGCTGTCACTTTAGAACCATCTCACTGCCAAGAGTCCAAGGAAAGATCTAGTTTAGTCCCAACGACTAACAGAGTTCCACCAAATTCCAGTGTGTGAACATCACAGATACCCTCACCTGGACTGGAAACACCACCTCACTGGTCCAAAGGACCCAGAAGCGCTTGGACTTCCTGCCCCCCCATCCTCCCCACCTTCTCCAGAAGCACCATAGAGAGCGTTCTGAGCAGCTGTCTCACTGTGTGGTGTGGAGGCTGCAGCGCCTCAGACTGGAAGAAGGTGAGAACAGCAGAGAGGATCATGGGGGCTCCTCTTCCCTCCATGAAAGACATTTCATCCCAGCGCTGCGTGTCCCGAGCCCGTGACATCATCAATGACCCCTCACCCCCCCACCATGGACTGTTCTCCCTGCTGCCCTCTGGGAAGAGGCTTCACAGCATTCAATGCAGGACCAGCAGGTTCTGCAGCAGCTTCTTCCCCACTGCCATCACACTGATCAACTGATGAGGAAACTCTGAATCACAGACTGCATCACACTGATGACACCAAACCAACACACTGCAGATTTGCTCCATAGATATTAATGCTCTGTTTTTTGCTCCATGTTTTTTCTCCTACACTGTTTACATTTGATCACTGCTGAACTTTATGGATGGAAATGTTATGAGAGCTCTACAAAATGAAATTTCATTAAAAGTTGTCTAAGTCTTTCTGATCAACAGCTATATTCAAACCTCTGGTCAGAGAAGTGGGCTCCCTGGAATGGCCAGAGTGGGGAGGCCACTCAGACGGGCACATGAGGGAAAAGCTCACGCTACAATGACATCATGTTCCCAGCTGGATTATTATCAGCCTGAGAGTCACCTCAGGACCTGGCACATCGGACTGGCATAGAGGAGCATATAATGACTGGCTGCACCATCTCAGTCCTTCTTTTTGCCCTTGCCATGAACATGACAGTCAAGTCGGCAGAGATGTTTGTAGGGGTCCGGTCCCCCAATAAGTGTCAGGCTGAGGTTTGAAGAAACAACAGAAGCAAGAAGTCTACAAACAAAATACTTAAATCAAGGAAAACTGACATGAAGGACAAATAAATGATGAGGAACCAGCAAAGACTGAACAGAAGGAGTATATATGGGAGGACTAATTGACAGACGAGTAACAAGTGTGAAAAGAAGAATCTAGAAGTGAGCTGGGAGAAGGAGACTGACACAAAAGGGCAACAGAGAATAAACAAGAAATTCCAAGAACTCAAATACAACCACAAATAACTAGAATACAAGAAAATGGAAATAAAACCAATTAAAACTCAAAGAGAAAACTTAAACACAACCAAAACCATGACAACAAGAGCGGTCATGGACGCCTTCCTGTCCTCAATGCTTTTAGGATAGGCATCCCTGGAACATCTCCTAAGCAGCTGTTCCAATCTGCAAGCACAGGACCCTTCAGGGCAAGAAACGCCAGGAGCCAAAAGCCATCATGTTCATCAGAGCTTGAAAGAAGTCCAACATCTATGCACAGGTAAAGGCTCGCCTTCTGGACTCCACCACTGCCTGGAGACTCGAACTGGACTTGGGGAAGCCGTTAAAGTTCCCAGCCAGGATAAAGGTTCAAAGGCTTTTTTAGATCAAGAAACACAGCTCCAACCACGCCACTTTTATCCAGTGAATGTTTTATATTTTCTATGAAAAATAAATTAGCAGTTTCTGTGGAGTGTTGAGTTCTGAAACCAAATTGCATTGAATGAGTGGTATTTAAATGTGTGTTGGCCAATCAGCTTTTTCTGCAACTTTTGACACTGTAGGTAAGTGTCATGATGGGTACTCTAAGAGTGACCCAATTATGCAGAACACCACTGACGGACACAGGAATAAAAGTTCAACAAGTTTATTTGAACACAAGCACACAGATTATACTGGTTCTGGTTCGTGCCTGGATACTGGTTCACCGGAGTCTGCGTGAGAGACAGTTCAGTTAGCGTTGTACGATGGAGCTTGCTTTCTTGATATTTACTGATTGTACCTTGAGGGTTCTTGAGGTTAGCTTTGGGAGGGTCACTGTTGGATCTGGAGAGGAATTGATCAGCCCGGAACCCACTGGCGATCCTCCGGTCCGTAGCCCTCCCAGTCGACGAGGTACTGCCAGCCGCGACCTCGTCGACGGGAGTCCACGATGCGTCGAACGGTGAAGGCGGGATGACCATCGACCTCCAGGGCGGGTGGTGGGGAGTCGGAAGGCGGGCACAAGGAACTCGAGGTGACAGGTTTAATTTGGGACACGTGGAAGGTAGGGTGGATTCGGAGGGACTGAGGCAGTTGGAGACGGACGGCTGAAGGATTGATAACTCGGGTGATCTTGTAGGGACCTATAAATCTTGGAGAAAGTTTTCGAGACATTCCCCTCAAGGGGATGTCTCGAAAACTTTCTCCAAGATTTATAGGAGTGGACAGCCATACCTCTTGTCCTTCAGTGTACACGGGGGCGGAACGTCTTCTGGAGTCAGCGAAGCGTTTGTTGGTTTCAGAAGATCGGTTGAGGGTGGCGATGGTTTCTCTCCAGATCTTCTGACAGCGTCTGATATGGTGATTCACTGACTGGACCGAAATCTCTCTCTCGTCTGCGGGGAAAAGTGGAGGTTGATAACCGAGACTAACCTGAAAGGGTGATTGTCCAGTGGAAGCAGATTTGAGGGAGTTGTGTGCATATTCAATCCAAGTAAGGTATTTACTCCAGTCGACGGGATTGTTGGATGTGAGGCAACGAAGGGTTGATTCAAGCTGCTGGTTCATCCTCTCTGTTTGTCCGTTGGATTGTGGATGGTAACCTGATGTCAGAGAGGGTTTACAGCCGAGTGCAGAACAGAATGCCTTCCAAACCTGGGATATGAACTGAGGACCCCGGTCCGAGAGGATCTCCTGGGGGATGCCGTGTAAGCGGAAGACGTGCTTAACGAGGAGCTGGGCTGTCTGGAGGGCCGTGGGAAGTTTCCTAAGGGGGATGAGATGGCAGGCCTTCGAAAAACGGTCAACAATGGTGAAAATGATGGACATACCTCGAGACTCAGGGAGGCCAGTGACAAAGTCAATCGCAATATGGGACCAAGGACGCGAGGGAACCGGAAGTGGCTGTAGCAGGCCTGAAGGAGGTTGATGTGAGGCTTTATTTCGGGCACATGTGGAGCAAGCCAACACATACTCTTTGACATCTCTATGGAGGGTAGGCCACCAGAAGCGTCTAGAGATCAGGGCGATGGTTCTACTGACCCCCGGATGGGCGGAAAACTTGGCAGCATGCATCCATTGGATGAGACGGGACCTGACAGAAGATGGCACATAGGTTCGGTTAGTGGGACCGTTACCTGGATCGGGTTCAGTAGCCAGGGCGGAGTTGATAAGGTCAGTGATCTCCCAGTTAACCACTCCAACAGTGCAGGAAGCCGGGAGGACTGGTTCAGGTGTCTCAGGATGATCGACAGAGTAAAGACGAGAGAGAGAATCGGGTTTGACATTCTTGGATCCGGGTCTGTAGGAAATGATGAGATTAAACCGTGAGAAAAAGATGGACCACCTGGATTGACGGGGGTTGGCTTGCTTGGTTGACTGGATGTAAGCCAGGTTCTTGTGATCAGTCCATACAAGAACCGGGTGCTCAGCTCCCTCCAGCCAATGTCTCCATTCCTCCAGCGCCAATTTGATGGCCAAAAGCTCACGGTCTCCCACATCGTAGTTCTGCTCTGCGGATGAAAGTCTACGGGAGAAGAAGGCACAAGGATGGATCTTTTGATCCGAGTCAAGTCTCTGGGATAGGACTGCTCCAACACCAGAATCAGAAGCGTCCACCTCGAGGATAAACTGTTTAGCAGGGTCAGGCTGCATCAACACTGGTGCTCTGGAAAATAAAGATTTCAGTTTATCAAATGCAGATTGTGCCTCAGGTGTCCACTGAAAAGTGCGTTTGACAGAGGTCAGAGAAGTTAATGGAAGGGCGGTCTGGCTATAGTTCCTGATGAACCGACGATAAAAGTTTGCAAAACCCAGGAATCTCTGTAGCTGTTTGCGGTTCTCTGGAACTGGCCATTCTAACACGGCTCTTATCTTATCCTCAGATGGTTTTACCTGGCCGCCCTCGAGCACAAACCCCAAAAAGGTGACTGAAGACTGATGAAATTCGCACTTCTCGGCTTTAACGAACAGCTTGTTCTCCAGTAGTCTCTGTAAAACAAGGCGGACATGTCTTTTATGATCAGAAAGGTTCCTAGAGTAAATGAGTATGTCGTCGATATAGACGAAAACAAACACATTTAAAAAGTCTCTGAGAACATCGTTCACGAGGGCTTGGAAGCAGGCTGGAGCGTTAGTTAGACCAAAAGGCATCACCAAATATTCGAATTGACCCAAAGGGGTCTTGAAGGCTGTTTTCCATTCATCTCCATCCCGGATCCTAAGAAGATGATATGCATTCCTTAAGTCCAGTTTAGTGAAAACAGTAGCCCCTTGTACAGGTTCGAATGCTGAGGCGAGTAGAGGAAGTGGGTATTTATTCTTTGTTGTGATTTGGTTCAAACCTCGGTAATCAATACATGGTCTCAGGGAGCCGTCCTTCTTTCCAACAAAGAAGAACCCAGCGCCCAAAGGAGAGGAAGAAGGGCGGATTATTCCAGCAGCTAAAGATTAAT